ACACTTTACATGTTCCAGACACAAGTTATCTCTTAAGATTTCTAGTTGAGAGCTGGAGAGACGGCAGCTCAGTGGTTAAGCGAACTGACTGCTCTTCCAGAGGACCCAGGTTCAATTCCCAGCACCCACATGGCAGTTCATAACTGTCTGTAATTCCAGTTCCAGGGGACCTGACACCCATGGCAAAACATCAGTGCACATAAAATGAATACATAAAAAGAATTCTAGTTGAGGCTGGAGATGTAGCTCAGTGACACAGTGTGCTCACTACACATAAGGCTCTGGGACTGCACACAATAGTTTTACCTTACTTCTTCTATAACTGTTTAATGTTCTATTTGGTGATATTCTTGAATTTCCCCAAACACATCCTACAGTGGCACGTGTTCGTATACACTGAATAGCAAAATTACTGAGGTCAAGCCTACATATGAGGCTGATAGATTCTACCACTTGTCCTCCAGGAATCCTTATGGTTTACACACTGTATGAGAATACACATTGACAGCTTTCTTGGTGTTGAAGAATGCGGGCTCCTACACTGCAGTAGCATTCTTTTAGAAATGACACCACACTGAGTAACCTTACTCAGGCCAGTGCTAAGTAGTAGTCCTGAGTTGCACTTCCCTGATGACTATAGATGGGGAACATTTCTTTAAGAGTTTCGTAGCCTCTTCTGAGAACTCCTTAATTCTGTGCCTCGTTGTTAATTGGGTTGTTTTTGTGATGCCCAGTTTTTTAAGTTCCTTATATATTTGAGATATTAGCCCTCTATCAGATGTGTAATTAGTAAAAAATCTTTTCCTATTCCATAGCTTACACATAACGCCTTTCGGAATGATGGTATCCTTTGCCATACAGAAGCGTCTCAGTTTCATGAGCAATTTATTAATTGCTGTGAGACACTTTCCTATGTTGAACTATATATGCAAGGTGGTGGTAATCTGTAAGCTTTGTTAGATATATGTATACCAAACAGCACATATGTACTGGGGTCAAGATTTGAACCAGTACTAAGTGACAACCTTTTCTATTTCTTTCAACAATTATGAGATCAGACTGGAATGTTTGGCTTAAAGCCCTGGCCCTAACATGTGCTAGCTGCAGCAACGTTAGGTAAATTGTAACTTCTTTTGTCACTGACAACAACAAAGTCCTCACTGGGCTTAGGCTTTATCCCCAGCACAGGGGGAACAAATACATTCACTGGCAAAGGATCGCATGCTAACAGATTTTGAGAACCACATACACCACAATGACAGTTGAACCAAAGTGAAATAGATTAGCATCCATGGAGTTCTATAACAATCTCCAACATAATAAACCTCAAGTACATTTGAAGCTATATTCAATATGGTATAGCATATTCTACTCTACAAAAGTAGTGGAAAGGTTTTTCTAATGATCGGGAAAAGCCTTAGACAACTGGAGTACCAATCTAGAGTTTTAGAGCACCATCTGTGGGGAAGAGCTCAGCTGCAAGCGGGGCCTGCTGTGGTATAATGCACACTAGGCTGTAACATCTGTCACTGTCACATACAACTAGATGTGCACTGTAATCGCAAGAGCTCTGGTGAGGTCTTTTATACCAACGCTTCCCCTTAGCCCAAAGTCGTTAAGGACAATGGCAATGTAGGACAGATGCCACCTGCATAGGCCAATACTGTTGAAGCTTAGCTTTGGATGTTAGTTGACAAAAATCAAGTACTCAATGGCAATAAAAAGTTTCCACACCAACTTGTCACACAGCAATATGCTTAAAGACATTTACCCTAACCTCACCCAACAGCTCAATGCAGGGACTAAGGTTCCCTCTATCAGTGGCTTCACACACACAGGAAGGCTGTACTGTTGTTGCTCACAGTCTTGGGAATGGACAAAAATGAAGATGAGGTACCTCCACTGCCCTTAGGCCCCCAGTCCAGAGCAGCACTTCCTCTGAAATTCCAGTTAAGAACTGAGTTCATATACTGAACCACGAGGAGGTCATAGTATCCAATAACTACCATGGAAAAGTGGAAGAATCTATGCTGGTAACTTTAGCTGCCATTTCACCGTCACCCCCAAGCTGTTTTTTCGTGTTTACTGAATAGGATAGGATAATATCAGGGCTCTCAAGAGCTGGCAGGAAGGGCATGTAAAATACACACCATATGTAGCCCAACCTAGGTCTGTCAAGCAGAATGTAGACTTTGGTTTCAGCAGCTCCAGCTCCAAGGACAACTGGGTGGCTGGCTGTCTATATCACTGACTGCCAACCACCACAAATCCTTCAGAGATGAAAGATCGGCAACCCCCAAAATGGCAGCCAAAGAGCTGTCAGAACCTACCTTAGAGGTCAGGGTGTTACAGCAGAACCTGGAGTGAAACTGACACCAGCATCCATTCTGGCATCTAAGCAGAGTTCTTCCTCAAGCTTGCAGCTCACTGAGGTTCAGGATCTGTGAACTTGCTTGGGGCTAGGAAGTGGTTGAAGGCTATGAAAAGTCAACGTACTTTGGCAGTAACACTAGTCATGTAATTTCAAATTTCATTAATTTCTTAATGCAAATTTCTTAAGCAAAGCAACAAGTTCGATGCATCATCCTTCACATTCCGCTCTAACCTACCTTCTTCCTGCACACGGGAGATGTGTTTACTCTTCAATTACACCTGTAGTTAGAGGGCTGGAAATGTGGCTCGGTGCTCTATCAGGACCAGAGTTTGGATCACAGGACCCACACAATTGGGTTACAATGTGTTAACTAGCTCCAGAGGATCTGACATACTTCTGGGACTCTGAGAAAACACATGTACACACACAGACACAAACACATCTTTAAAAACAAAACAAAACTCTGTAGTTGGGACAAACCCCCTGTAGATTAACAACAAGAAAAGATTAGCAAGAATATTAACATGTGCTCAGGAGAAAGAAAGCAACTCAAAGCAATTGGGAATGAGTATACCTTAAGTGCATTTCAACTAAGAATACACTGCAGAGAAATGCTAAAAGAAAACCAATCCTGGGCTGGAGAGATGGCTCAGAGGTTAAGAGTATTCTTCCTGAGATCGAGTTCAATTCACAGTAACCACATGGTGGCTCACAACCATCTGTAATGAAATATGGTGCCCTCTTCTGTCCTGCAGGTAAACATGCAGGCAGAACACTGCATACATAATAAATATTAAAGGAAAAGAAAAGCAACCCCAAACTTGAGAAGTGAAAAATAACGTGTATAAAGACACACCACAGATTTATAAAAAAGCTAATGGCTACGGAGGTCATAGGCGAAATGTAAAGTTGCTGCAAAATGAGCATGATATTCTCATAAAATCACCTTCTAAAGGATATGTAAATGTCCACAGATTGCTGCCAGGTTTGATTTGCAGTGGGCAGCAGTAACTGGAGATACTAAAGTCATGAGATCAGCCTGAGAAAAGTTCAGAGAATATCAGAATAGAACAGAAAGGATGGGATGGAATGTTGTGACCGTCTTCTAGGCAGGCCATGCTATCAGACTCGAATTCTCAACAGATCTGCCTACGGGTACAGACCCTTGTCCTGGAGTGGGGAGGGGCTCACGAGGGTCTATGAAGGTTACTAATGCCATTAGTAAAAGTGTCTATGCTCCTGTATACAAATTCTCATCCAGGCTTCTGTAAGAAATCCTAATGATACTCATTGCCCCCTGCCAAAAACAAACAAACAAACAACAACAACAAAAAAAAAAAAACCAGGAAAGACTAGTTGAGAAGGTGATAAAAAATAGGACAATCGGGTGTAATAGGAGATAAATATGAGTAACATATATTTTATATATACACATATATATGAAAATAATGAAACTTACTATGTACAATTAATACAAGCTAATCTATGTAAAGAACGTCTGCTGTAGCAGATACCTTCCAATTTTTAGATAAGGGAAAGGGAACTGACCTTTTCTGTTCTTGGTGGGACAGGGTTGCCAAACACTTTATTCAGAGGTTTGGAGAAGGGTTTAATAGGTTCACATGACCTAATGTCCTCAGCAGGGGAGATTTTTCAAGGCCTCCCCATCACCATCCGTTTTTTTCCTGTGCTTGCACAAACACAGCTAGACTTCGACATTCTGTCTTCAGGGCATTTCCTTCACTCCTCATTGTGTATCAAGTCACTTATCACCATCAGTGTCACAGGACTGAGATACACCCTAGAGGGTCACTTAAAAAAGCACACTTCTGGATGTCTATGAAGCTCCTTCTAGAGAGATGGCATTGAGGGGGATGGGGATGACACTCCCTCAATGTGGTGCCTAGAGGCTCAGGAGGAAGGAAGAGGCCCACAAGAGTAAGACATCCCACATCCCTACCCCATGCTTCCTGGTTGCCATGGGGTGAGCAACTCAGCTCTGCTTCAGTCCCCCATAAATCCACCGAAGTCATACAGATCTAGATACAGTGAAACCCAGTGACAGTGCACCCACACACTTGAAACCACGATATAAAATAAACAACCCTCCCCCTCCTCCCCCATTTCTCTCAGGTACTTGTCACAGCAGTGAAAACTGACTGTGGCCACACAGGTGCATACCGACCTTTCACTACTGCGTTCCCTTCTTCTGAATTTCTGATACTTCTCAGTCTGAATGACTTCTATCTCGATAAGACTCGGGAGTCATATGACACTCGAAGGCAAAGACACCTTTAAGTTGACAACATCCTCAACATCCCCAGCTGTGCTCAGAACAAGAGCGACAAAAACATCAAGGCCTTGATCTGCAGAGTGACAGCTCTGATGAAGGACTTTCAATCCTGCAGTTCTTTGAAAATTACATTCGCAATCATCTAATTCCCAGGCATTACTGCGCCAGGCACTATCAGAATCGCTCCTTAAAATCATAGTTCGTAGTGGCTCCGTTCTCTCGCAGCACGCTGCTGAGAGGGGATCTGAATAGTGAAGCGTTATCCTGCAGGCGGACAGTAAAGTCCACTCTTTATCATAGACGCGCCGGGGAGAATGAGAGAAGACAAGTTCATTATTTAGCATTGGTTGCTTTATTTTGCATTTTTAAAGTTCACAAAACCTTTACAGTATCTGCCTCCCCCATGTTGATCATCAAGGCTGATCAAGTAAGACATGAATTAGGCATACTCAAAAACAACGGATAATTTACAAACATCTCTCTAATCAAAAACATTTTACAAAATACATATTCTAGTACACATATGAATTTATCTACCTAAGACTTTAAAACTTATTTAAAAAAACAAAAATAAACAAAACATTTAACATTGACAAGTCTACAGAATAACGCTGATGGCAAGCTAGAAATAGCTTCAAATGCTGAATGTAATTTGAGGGAAGGAGATTATTGGTTGGACCTAGATTTAAATAGTACTAATAGTAAGATTCTGTTTTTAATGAATTTCTACCAAATGAACAATTCATTTGCCTTGGCAGCTTCTCAAACTTAATAGTTGTGCATGTTGACAACTTGATTAAAGGAGCTGGAGACTAGTGGGAGGGAAAAAGAAAAGTAGCATCAGTACTTCCCGTCTTTCCCAAGGAACCAGCAGTTCAGTTATTGCTTCCACTGAGGAGGCATATGTCTATAAAAGGTATGTATAGAATATCAACGCCAAAAACAGCTCCAAGTGTTCTCACTTAAGAAATGTGAAAAAAAATAAACGTCCTCAATTAGATTTTAATTTTCAAAGTGGCATAATATATATCTTCACACATCCATTATAGGGCTCATTAAAATTACTCATACTGCTATTTCTACATTAAATATAATCTGTATGTACTTTGGGGTATCTGTGAGGACAGCATCAGTGGAGGCCACCGAAAGTAATGGCAAGCATGGTGGCTCACAGCTGCAAGCCGAGCAATCAGGAAAGACAGGCAGGAAAACCAAAGTTAGAGGCCAAGGCAGGAAAGTCTGAAGCCAGCCCAGGATACACAGTGACACCCTATCTCAAACTAAAAGGTAAAAAAGCAGAAATGAATGAAAATGGGGGGGAAAAAAAGGAAACCGAGTATGGTGGCACATGTGCTTAATGCTGGTCTATACGGAGATATTCAGGCTAGCTAGGGCCACACTATAAAATCCTGACCCCCCCCAAAAGTAGATAATGAACTAGGACAGGAATTAAAATCATGATTTTTTTTAAAGGTACCTAACATCACAAGTTATGTGTTTTGGCTCAGTGCTATGCCGGAATGGCCCAGGAAATGAGTGGGATGCAGTAATTGTCTCTTCACTTACTCACTGGCTCGCTCCCACGGTGAGGGGAGGAGCTGTGCTGGCCTCGCTGTTTTCTGCCTCATGTCTACGATAACACTTTTGAAGAGGGAGATTCTCTAAGTCTACAGAATTGAGATCATGGAAACTAGCAGAGAAATCTGTTGTTTAATCGAAAGCACGAGCTCCTTATCAGGTTCTTCTTTGATAAAGAACGGACCTAAACATAACTCCAGGTTCTTTTTTTTTTTTTTTTGGTTTTTTGAGACAGGGTTTCTCTGTGGCTTTGGAGGCTGTCCTGGAACTCACTTTGTAGACCAGGCTGGCCTCGAACTCACAGAGATCCGCCTGCCTCTGCCTCCAAAACTCCAGGTTCTTAAATAGTCTAATTTTTCAGTGGAGTCACCAGAAGTGTTTCTGAGAAATCAACTTCAAATGCATCTCAGATTACCCCTCCTATCAGTCTTTATCTATAATGTTGTTCAGAGAGAGCAGTCAGGACTTTCACCTCATAGGAGAAGTGCAGGAAGTTCGCCGACTTGAGAAGAAGATTTTGTTCTAATGTGTCCTCTAGAAATTTAAGTGCTTCTTTCTTATGCTAAATAAGAATGAGTCTCAAAGTAAATATCGTAAGATAGCAAAGTTCTAATTCATTAACATAGCATATTTTGATGTCACCAAAAGGTCCAAATTGAAGAAAAGCAGCAGCAAGTCAAACTCAACAAAAAATGCTAACAGTGCCATGATATGCAACCTGGAATGATCTCTATCTAGAAATTATACTCCCGAGACCAACACACCATGGAAGACTATCGAACATGAATTAAGTACAGAAAACTGCTCTCCAGAACTGCTTTTTTCAAACGCTAAAAAATTAATTGAACATTATTTTGGGGAGGGAGGAGGTGTATGAAGATCGATGAGAATATTCTACACACAGGGAAACCATTCTAACTGAGATACTTTAAAAGCTATTGTACATGTTTATTTGATACTAGAAATGTGGTCAGCTATCATAAAGTATTTCTCTTCATCACAAAATAGTAAAGATTTAAACAATCCAAGGAGAAAACATCTAGAAGCTTTAAAAAAACTTGTTTGACCTGGGCACTAATTCTTTAAAAAGAGTCTCCAAAATCTTGAGTAGAATTATCATACTCAGTAATGAAATGTTTGAGTTCTTCAACACATCGCTCACCTATTTCATGTAAATTCTGTCTCAATGCAAACTGTATAGATTTTTCTAATGAAGGGTCTTTTTCAATCAGCATTTTCACCACCATCCCGAAAGTTTCACAGTCTTGTCGGTAAACCTAGAATGTTCAAATATATTTTGGTTAGTATTTCATTAAGTAATTACTTATTTAAACGCTTGGCTGACTGAGCTGGCAGAACTCTATGATGCTGAAATCTAGAAGGGATACATAGTAACTTGGCTGAACCTCCACAAAACAGGCATAACCACTGCTGGAACCTGTCTTGGATATCTATCTGTTCACAACAGAGTAAGGACAAGGAGACACCCATCACTGAGTAGAAACATGGCAGGCATCTGGAGCAATGCAACCTATCTAGAGGGTGTTGGACCCAAGGATAAAAGAAGGTAAGAACAAAAGCAAGGCAAACAAACCACTCACCTATTTCTTAAGAAGGAAAAGGCTAGACAGAAGTTGTCAACACACCTTTAATCCCAACAGAAGCAGAGGGATCTCTGAGTTGGAGGCCAGTCAGGTCTACATACCAAATTCCAGGTCAGCCAGGCTATGTATAGTGAGACCCTGTCTCAAAAAAGAGAGGGTAATGGGGAAAGAGGGAGAGAGGAAGAGAAAGGGAGGGAGGAGGGAGGGAGGGAGGGAGGGAGGGAGGGAAGGGAGGGAGGGAGGGAGGGAGGGAGGGAGGGAGGGAGGGAGGGAGGGAGGGCAGTCCAAGGCTGCCAAACCTCTGACTTCTAAATGCTGGGATTAAAGGTGTGCACTACCACCACCTGGCTATATTTTAGTTTTCTAATGTACAATAACATACCACCACTCTTCAAAAACTGATTTTATTCATTGTGAAATCATAGATTTGAGATGCAGATGAGTTTTACCACAGGGTTTTTGTTTTGCTTTTGGTGGATATGTACATACACAGAGTGTGGAAGTGAAAAGCCCACCTCTCCCACCTTTCCGTGTTTTACAGAACTGAACTCAGGGCGGCAGGCTGTGAGGCCAGCACCCCTACCCACTGAGCCACGGTGCCAGCTGGTCACTACTAGTTTGTGGGGAATACGGTTCTGAAATCTCTGCAATATGTCTTGGTTGCTTAAAAACCGTATTTAAGGACAAAGGCAAATGTAGTAGTGTAGCTCACAACAAACTGAAGCATCGGTTTTAGGCCAACCCTGTAGTGATATAGTACTTATGATTTATTAAAACTTGACTGTGGATTCAGAAAAGCAAAGTCAGTCACAAGCCATAGAGACCAGGCGCACACCTTCATTCCCAGCAGCTAGGAGCCACGAGGTGGTGGTACACACCTTTAATTCTAAAACTCAAGATCAAGAAATAAATGAATTTCTTTGAGTCTAAAGCCACCCAGATCTACACAAGAGTGAATCAGTCTAAAAGAGAATTACAGCTCACACCTTTAATCCCAACATTGTTAGGGAAGTGTATAAGACAGAAGCAAGGTCTCAGAGAGGCATTCATTCTCCAGCCACACTGAATAGGAACCCTCATTCTCCAGCCATGCTGAGTTGGTTACAGTTTGAGACTTGGTGAAGAGTTTTGTGAACAGCCCTTTCAGCCTGAGCTAGAGCTGAGAGCTAGTGGCTGGCTGTTTTGCTTTTCTGATATTCAGCTTGAAGTTTGAACCCCATTATCGGTCTCTTATTTCATGTTGCAAACCCGAGCTACATTACAGGTTCAGCCTGAGACACAGAGCAAAATCTGTGTGACAAAAACAAGACAACAGGAGGGGAAGAGAGGACAGGGGAGGGAAGGCAAGGCAAGGCAAGGCAGGCAGGAGGGCAGATACACAGAAAGATGAACGGGGGAAGGGAAAGAGAAGGAAGGGAAAGAATTTACCAGGTCCAAGGAAACGGAAAAGAACTTCTATCTATGAGGCAGCAAGATGGCGCAGTGGGTAAAGGAGCTGTGCTGCCAAGCCTGAGGACCTGAGTTTGAGCCTACATAGAAGGAGAACGAACTCCTCTGACCTTCATTAATGCGCATGCACTGGTACACACACACACACACACACACACACACACACACACACACACACACACACACACACACACACACACACCACTCCACTCCTAGTGGTCTTGTTAGCAATAGTATAAAAACATATATACTTTTCTAATATGATAAAGTCAGTATATAACCTATCATGTTCAACTCAACATTTTATATTCCAGTTTATCCCGAGGTGAGGCTTCCTGGAAATGTAACTGGTATTATTGTTGCACAAACCTATCAGAAACAGTGTATTAGTCACATACATCACATGTAGTATTGTGGCAAGAGGCACACTAACGACTGATCTCACCGCACATGATCCCCAAGTCAGGTCAACAGAGTAGTGTGGGAAAGGGGTCACAATGCTAGAGTTGTGTGAAGGTGAATCCCAGCAAACACAGAGCTTACACAACAGTGCTCTAAGGCCAGCCACAGGCTTCGGCAGACTGCTTTGTGGGTGGCCTACATTTTACTGGCTGTTTAGAAAAGTAACAGATGAAAATAATGCTACACTGAAATAACCTGCATAATCTTTAATGTCAATCTGCTTCCTACTTAGACTCCACTTCAGAACACAATTGTTCCACATTTCTTAGTATGAAAAAAGTATCCTGAAATTCTAACATTGAAACCATGACCTCCTGTCACAAGAAACAAGTTTTGCTTAGTGTATGTTTTAAGTCCTTTTTGAATTATCCACTGGAATATAAAAATGTTTGTACATTTTTTTGGGCAGGAATAACAAAACTATTGAAAGCAACATAACTGTCGACTTGAGGGAATTTCTCTAAAAGACTGTTTAAAATGCCCTAGTTGGACATCAGATAGGAAATAGATTTAGTTAAAGGAAGACCTCACCCTGAAACATTTTATAAACACAACTTGAAACTGTCAGGAACCTATTTCCGAAATCTGTTCCACTGTAAATCCAATCCCCGGCAGGAAGGGTGTAGCTCTCTGCAGCAGAGCTTGTTTGCCTATGGTCCCTAGATGGAAACGCATCAATAACCTGCAGGGCTGATCGCTACAGGCCACACAGGAAGACTCTTGCTGTTGTTGTGCTTGGACCTCATCAACGTAGGAAGCAGGTCAGTGTCCGGGTGGGGCTCATACAAACTGCACTGAGAGCTAAATCTGTCAGTGGAATGAAAACACCATCCAAAGCTGTTTCACAGTCTTTACCATAATGGCAGTGTTAACAACCAAATTCTCACATAGTACTTTCAGGAATAAATTCTGGTTACTAATTATGTTTTCAGACCAAACAAAGATTTTCAGTTGAATATAAAGGATATCTTGGCAAAGCAAACTCAATGGCAACTCTGCTCTATTTAAAATTGCTTGTCAGGGCAGGACAGGTTGCAGAGTTGGTAGAGTTCTTGTTGAGCATGCATAAACTGTAATTCAGCGAGTAAATGAACAAACACAGCAGCTTGGTAGGGCAGGACGCTACGTTTACTCGATGTTCCATGAGGGGAGGGAACACAAAATTAAGGCAAGATAAGATGTGGTTAACACATGCATTCCAAGTGTGGAAGATTCGGGGAGGGACATGATTGCTGCTTTATCCAACAAGACTCATTTCCTCTGCTGTTGCTGTCTCATTTCAAATCATTTCCTTTAACCAAACTCACTTGCTTAAAATACTGTGTCCTGCTTCAAGAGGGTCACATCCTCATGACAGAGGTAAACAGGGATAATTAAAAACCAGCATAGTTAGATGAGCAGGGTAGGCAGAAAAGGAGTTCCAAGGCATTGGATTCCCTGGAGCTGGAGTTACAGGCAGTTGTAAGTCACCATGTGGATGCTAGGAACTGAACCTGGGTCCTCTACAAGAGCAGTCAGTGCTCTTAACCATCTCTCTAACCTCATGGAAAATCTTTTATTTAGCACTATTCCCCTAAAATGTCAGAAATATGAGTTAAACATGTTACTGAATTACTCCTTAGAAGAATCAACAGTCTGTGCTTTCCATGGTACCTTATCTTAAGTTAGGAATCAACAGAATGCAGCTGTGAAAACTCCAAGTATTAGTGGAGATTAACGACATATTTCCAGGCAACTGAGCTCTGTGTCAGATAGTAAGTTTTCTGTTTGTTTTTTTATAAGACTAAGGATAGAACCCAGGTTCTTACTTATTTGGCAGACACTCTACCTACCACTGACTTAAACCTCCAGCCTAGTAACATAGTTACAAATATGTCAAGGGAAATGTTAAAAACATTTTTAATTAAATAACAATAAAATGTCAAAATTTGCAAAGGTCTGTCTGGGTTGTGGCGTGCACACCTTTAATCCCAGCATTCGGGAGGCAGAGGGAGGTGGATCTATGTGCCTTTGAGGCCAGCCCCGTCTAGAGCTCATACCAAGACAGGCTCCAAAGCTACACAGAGAAACCCTGCCTCAAAAAAACAAAAATTGCAAAGGGCAACAAGAACTGTATTTAGAGAAATAGGAAAGAATCAGTAGTTATGACACTAGAAAAAGAAATAAAATTCAAAGTAACTAAAAAAAATTAAAAAACTACAACATAAAAGTTAAATTTAAAACAGGAAGTAAGGATTAGGAAAATGGCTCAGAGAGAAAGCCGTGTTACAGAAGCACAAGCAGAAAGGTCTAATTCAGGCTCCATCTGTCCCAGAGGATCTGTCTCTGAGGCAGAGACAGGAGGATCCCTGAGGCTTACCTCATATAGAGACTACAAGCACACATCACTATGCCGTTTGTGTGGTGCTGAGAACGGAACCTAAGCCTCAAAGCTACCACAGTAACCACACAGTCACTAGAAAACAAAGGGGTAGTAGAAACTCTCGTCCCACTAATCAGACGAAATGGACCATTTCAGTGAAAGACATAATCTGCTAGAACTCTTAAAAGGAGAGACAGGGTCATCTGAACAAGTCACATCCACCTCATGGCACTCACAGAGCAGACAGTTGCAGATGCAGGGTTCCACTGGAAATTCTACCAGCACTTGAGGGGATGGAGTAGAAACTTTCAGCCACCTCTTCTAGAAAACAGAGCTAGAAGTTCTCCCTAACTCAAAAGGCCTACAATATTCAACTGCACCAACTCCAAGATGCAGACTA